AACCCAATTTTCTAAATTAGCCTAAAAAATTACACTGCTTTTTTTCATACGTTTATTTGATCATTCGTCTACTTGATTCAAGTCGATAATTTAGATAAGAAATGGTTTTGAACAGAAATTTTACAATTTTCTTCACTGTTTTTGTTCTTTTATTTATTCTTGTCGGCGAATTTCAGACCAACTGACATGCAAGGCTGCCAACTCAATTAGCAATGAAGTACCATATTGAGGATAAAAAATGCCAAAAAGGTGCATTCGTTTTAATTTTTTCCATTTGCCATTAAAATGAGAAACACATTTCTAAAACAGATAAACCAGTTGAATACACTATACAAATTATAAAATTTTTCTTGTGAAAAAGAAGTACACGCAAAGGATTTCACAAAAATATATTGAAATAGTATTATTTGAGCCATTTAAATTAAAATAGGGCCAAAAGTGCTACGGTTTGAGCGAAGTTGGCAGGTCTGATGACGTAGATGGAAAACAACGCTGCCATATGAAAACATTAATTTTTTAGCATAGGCACTACACATGATCCAACTGGATCCAACTACACAATTCTAATTGGTTCATGGGCACTACATAATGGGTTCTTTCCCGTACGCAACGCAGGATCAAAATAGCCCAGAAATCATTCCCGTATAATAGAGAGCGAAAATTGGAAAGTATTGGATCGTAAGTGTCTTATTCCTTTTGCCCGAAGCAACCCGGACTTTTTCGCCGGGTAAAAATGGATAAAGCGTCAAATGTTTCCCAAATTCTGGGCACGAAATGTGGGTTTTTGCGTTCCCGTACTTCTGGATTATGTTCCATTTTTGATAGCAAACTTTTGGCTTATTCTACCGGATCCGGTCCGGATTGTTAGGGAAAGAACCTAATATGTAGTATTATATAATAATATTCCTTTTTCGACTGATCTTCAATTTCAAGTATATTTCCAAAATTAAAGAAATAAATCCATATTAATAAATCGTTAAATAAAACAAAATCTGCAGCAAATATCTCATTGTCTTTCTAAAACAAAGATCTGGCTGCATTATGAAATGGAAGAAAATAAAAAACGTCGACCTGCGGAACAAAAGAGGTTTGTTCCACGCGAGCCCGCGGGTGCCCAAAACAGCCCAGAAAGCGTTCCTCACGCTAGAAAAATTGGTAGAGATCCACTTTTGGATCGTAAATTTCTTCTTCTTTGTGCACGAAACAGCCCCTGTGCAAAAGGGCAATTTGAAATAACAGCTGTTGTGGTTTAAATCCGAAAGCAAATTTTATAAAAACAAAATTGGAAAATATCACAGAATTTTCAGAAAATTAAGTTATGTATTTGGTAATTTTATTAGCCATATAAGATAAATACACGTAAAATCATTATTTAGAGCTGATATGTTGATTCCGGGCACGAAATGTGTTTTTTTTTTTCGTTCCTCACGCTCTGGACACTTTTGTCACATTTTTGACACTTGTGAGAGAGTAATTTTTTTTACGCTCTAATTACCGGAGCAGCCCGGAACGCGCAAGGAACAAAGCTAATGCTGTGAAAAGGAAACTGCGGTTGGTTCGAGTACTTGCTAAAGTGGATGTGATTTGTGGCATATAAAACAGCTGGTTTAGACTGTATAAAAGGAAGCGGAAGTTACATTAGGTGCGTTCGTTTAAAATCTCCAGCAGAAACCAACCAACTGCCAAATTCCGGCGAAATGTCATCTGTTCGCTCACAAGAGAGAAATATCCAAAATAGTACGCGAACAAAAAATTTGCAGAAACTTGCAAGTTAGACGAACAACTGATATAATTTTGGGTGGGCTTTAGTAGTCAGCCGCACCTTGTGTTTTATGAAAACCAGGTGGAATTAACAAATGAAACTTGGTCAGGATGTTAAGGGAGGTATCCTCTAAAACATGTATAACTAAAAAATATAAATAATATCATTGTTTATAAGTTATTTGTTGTTAAAATTTCTTAAGTCGTTCCACTTGGTTTCCTTAACAAAAACGCATTTGTGCATACTTTTATATATATAAATGCACATAACACTGTGCTTAATACTTTACACACTTTTCTTTTAGTTTATCTTGTATATAAATCACTTTAATTAAACTTTTATCGACTTGTAAATTACATTGAATTTCACGCATATTTACAATAGGTTTGTTCGTCGAAAATCCAGCAAGAATTATCCAACACTCAAAATATTAGAGAGTAAGAAAAAATTCTCTCAAATTATCTCTCATGTTGAGAAACTTGCAAATTTCTGCACGAACGCAAATTTGCAGGAATTTGCAAGTTTCGCTGCCAGCTGGCGTCCACGGTTGCATTTCAAACATAAAAAATTTGTATAGAATTTTTAAAATTCTTTCGGATGGCCAAAAACAGGATATACATGTATATTTCTTGTTGTTCTGACTTTCTTTAACATACATTTCAATTTCTTCATCGTACTAGCTGTCGGGTTTCTTAAATCGACTCTGGTTGCAATTGCATTCCGATTGCGAATACCATTTTTTTCAGCCGAATTAAGTTCAAATTATTGGAATTAACTAAATTAATTATATCAACAATTATTTACTTCCTTTTTTCATAAAAAAATCGCTCGTGTTTATAAATTTTTAAATTTAACGAACTAATTTATTCAAATTATTGTAGACAAAAATGCAACCATGCGCCACAACCACATGTTTTTCGTGTTTGCAAATTCTTGCTGGCAAAATTTTTTCCAGCAAGAATTTGCAACTTCTCTCCAAGAGAACTGTCACTTTGCTCTCACAATTTTTGAGTGTTGGATAATTTTTTGGTCTGCACGAACGCGATTTGGGCAAAAATCGTGATAATTCGTACAAATTCGTACAAATTTTTTGCTCGACGAACAAACCTAATAACACATGGTTGCAAACTGACACATAACATGTGTTGCCATATTGTACAAAACAATACATACAAAGAAGGCAATGATTAAAAAGTAATACAGGGGAAATCAATACAAAAGAAAATGTTCAGCTCCTTTTCTTCGCAAAACAGAAAGGAGAATTCTATTGCCTGAGGGTTATAATCCCTAAGTGCGGCCGAAGGCCGCCTACGCTGAAAGGTGTTCTCTGCAAAAGGTGTTCAGCTCCTTTTCTTCGCAAAACAGAAAGGAGAATTCTACTGCCTGAGGGTTATAATCCCTAAGTGCGGCCGAAGGCCGCCTACGCAGAAAGGTGTTCTCTGCAAAATGTGTTCAGCCCCCCCTTCTTCGGCAACACAGAAATAATAATTCTACTAAGTAAAAATTCCCAATTAAAAATCCGCTTTTATTATTCAAAATTCCAGTCTGGTGGCACTAAGTTGTATGTTATTTTGCTATCTTATTCATCGTTTATATGAAAACTTTAACAATAAATTATATAAGAACTATAGGGTTGCTAGAAAAAAGGGGGGTAGTTTTGAAATCAGGGGGTCCTATTCTACCCCCCCTCATCCCCCCTTTTTCTAGAATTTGCCGTCCGTCTACTAAAATTTTCCCATAATTTTTGTTTACATTCAAAAGTGTAAAATTTAAAACGTACGAAAAGTTATCACAAAGTGTTATACTGACACAGTTTATTGATTAAACAAATAACTACTTATTTCTTACAAGTTTAATTAGTCGCATTTTGTAATTTTTAACTTCCAAACCATCAAATTCAATTTTGTGATTTGCGTAAATGCCAACCAGCTGTTTTTGATCAGCTGTTTTCCTGTTGGCAAAAATTTTTCCAGCAGAAACCAGCAGCTTCCCCTCAAAATGAAATGTCACTTTGCTCTCACAATTTCCCCTACTTTGCAAGTTTTTTGCGTACGCGAACGCAAAAACTTGTAAGTTTTGGTTAAACATGAACAATTAACAGCTACGCGAACGAACCTATTAATTGATAAACAAGAATACTGGGAAAGAAGTGCACTTGCGATTTAATTTTACGTTAACTGCAGCAGTTCTAACCCCGAGCCGTATTGTACACATATGTACATACACACGCACACATAACACAAACATCCTTGTAGGGAAAATCTCTAGTTCTGAACTGGTGCGTTTCTAGTACAATTAGACCCAGTACTGGTTCGCGATAAATCTCTTTTGCATGCAAGCAACTGGCGAATTTAACATGGCGATGTCCTAGGAAGTGTCAATTGCCTCCCGCTGCATCCCTTTTTCGATAGTTCCGAAATAGTTCTAAATTCGACAAATAGGATCTAGTTCGTTCTGCATCCCTTTTTCTATAGTTCCGAACCAATTCTAAATTCGTCACTTTAGATATAGATTTGTAGTGAAAAAAACTGAAAAATTTGTTTCTTAAAAGTACCCCTTTTCACCGATTTTTGACTGGTGGGGATCTAGTTCATATCGGACTAATTCCTTTTTGGCGATAAAGACCTAGTACGGAACTAGAAATTTGATTCACTAGTCCGCGGTTTCCCTGCAGGGAATATAAAGGGTAAAGAGCTCATCTTTCCACCTCTAGACAACGAACACATGCATGGGCGTAGCCAGGTAGGGGCAGGGGGTGCTGGAGTCCCCCCCAACTTTCAAATTTTCCTTATATATATATAAAATAGTACCCTGAAATTCCAGCTTAATAGGGTCGAGCCATACCCCCCATGCCCATTTCAGAATAGCTTTCAGTAAAAAGACAAATTTTAAGCAACTTTAAACAAAAATATGTATATTATGTATTTCGTTCAAGTTATCATCATCAATATAACTACAGTTTATTGCAATTATTTTTAGAATACGCTCGTTCTACGTCGCGAAAATTTGCAAAATTCTGCAATTTATAAATCGCCTTTTCTATCTCTTTTAAAACAGGTTTGTTAGACATTCGCAACATATTATATTCTTTTGTTAAAGAAAAATATATAATCGTTAAAAAAGCATAAAAATATATATTTGCACGTATACGGCTGAAGCTATACAAATATGTAGTATGTGCTTGAGTGCAATTGTAATAAAACAAAATAAATTAAATTTACAAAATATACATGTATTTGCCTCAGCTTTTGGACATGTGCTGGCTTTTTATTATATAAATGTATTTTTGCCATGCGTGAAGCCGCAAGACGATTGCAGTAGTATCACATAGTTTATGAGTGTCAAATAGCATAAAAACTTGCTACCGTACAAATTTCACTTGCCGCGACGACACATAACATTTTTAACAAATTTTTAAATTTCCAATCTTGCATGTACAATTAACATTTAATTTAGTTAATTATACTAATCTTGGAAACATCACTTGAGAGTTTATTGGTTTTATTGGCGTTTACTTTATGGCGTGCTATGTTGTTATAAGTATTTCCATTGATGAAATTTACAGGCAATTGCTGCTTTCAATTCGATAAGTGCGGTGCGGCAAATGTACTTGGAGAGTGCGTCCAAAATTAATGTATGTGGTCCATATAATTCGTTAAAGTAAAATTTTGAGTTTTGATCGTGTTTGCCAATCGCGTCAAAAATATCACCTACAACTAGATTATACTATAAAATTAAATGTATGTATGTATGTATGTATGTATGTATGTATGTGTAGTGCATTAACATTTAGAAATTATATACAACTAGAAACTAATTGATTTTAAGGACGTTGTACGCATAGATGATTACGATGAATACTAAACGACTATAATTCAAAAATTAATCATAGCTGAATAGTTAAAACGATGAATATTATATAGTATACATACATAGGTATAACCTAGCGTTATTATAAACGTTGTAAAACGTTTACCTAAACATGCACTCTCATGTAAATTCGCTGCTGTTACCACACTTATATAAAATTTTCAACCAGCATCTGCATCTCAAGAATATATAATTTTGCACAACTTAAACACTTAAAATTTTTTTTTTTTTTTGCTATTTTCAAATGTTTATTTTGCTTTTTGCACTGCAGTTTGGCCTTGAGTTGATGTCCCTGTGTATTTCTTCCTCCACATCCATTATTTTACCAATTTCATGCCTCTAATTCAATATTCGTACGTGTAAGATGTTAATCGTACATCCTTTCACGCATTCTCGCTTTACATCACTCGAAACTATTATTGTTTGCCTCTCTTCTATACATCAATCCCCTCCGTATCTCTTTCGCTTTTGCATCAAATTGATAATAATTTTTAAACGAAGTGCCATCTTATGCATATTTTCATTTAAAGTTTGCGTAGAGTAAGGGCAGCCTCGGAAGACTTATTAGCACCACTGCTGGCCAACATCTGCTTAAGACTAAATGAGGAGATCGCAATTCCAAAGACGGCCATCATTGTAGCAGAGCGTGACACAACACGGTCCGGTGTGGCTGTTGTGAAGACACTGCTGGCAGACTGGGATGAAGACTGAAATTTCAGAAGGTAGAAGAAAATGTTAATGATTTCTGTTATTACAAAATTAAAATTTAAACAAAAAATATTAATATAATTAAAACTAAACCGTACATACAAAAATATGTACATATAATAATTCTAATAACTAATGCTTCGTGGGAAATAGAAAAGCACTTTCGTGAGGCTGACTATCTCTTCTGCTGCTCAAAAATCTCTCTCTGCTGCTTCCAAAATCCAAATACAGCTTTATTAAATTTTGACCATAGTCAAAATTAAAAAAAAAACAACAGTTTACCTAAGTTTGTGTGCCCGGACTAACTACGAGACGCATACGTTCCCACGACAGTCGGATCTACGTAACCGGAACGACCCAGATTTATATCTGGCCAAGGACTGTCACTCCAGCAATACTACCCAAAAACTCTTTGGGGAATTTGTATGCTGTTACAACAACAACAACGATACGCTTATGTCACTTTCGCCTATGGTGCTAACGGTCGTTTTCAAAGAGAATTAAACTGATGATGAAACTTTGACCCAGCTGCTCGCTTTGATGTAAAGTGAAGATAACTGTCCCAGTAATCAACAATTAAACTCTCGTTCGGAAGTTAAGTGCGTGAATGAGAGTTAATTCTCCACTGTGCAAACTGCCCTAAATATATTTATATTAACTCTATTAAAAAATAAAAACCTACCAAATTACAGAAATTCATTCATCAGAAGAGGTAAGATACATAAATGGAATTCGGTAACATGCTTGGGTATCAGGAAAAGAATTGAAGTGACTGATAAGGAAATGGCGTAATACATATCGGTTTGTAAATTGCAGTTCGCATGAAAATATTTTCAACTATTAAAATGGAATTTCCAGTAAAATGTTTAAGGCGCATTTTAAAGGTCAATTTAAAACTATCCACCCATCACGATTCCATTTTTTTTTGTCTGTGGCCATAAATACGAAATTTCTAAAACACAAAAAAGGCCAATTTGACAAAAGCAAGCCGGGCGCCAGCGTTTTCTGTTAATTATAGTAAAATTGCATTTTTAAAAATAAACAAAATCAAAGCGTAAAAGAGAGCAAAACTGGCATTATGCCCGACAGGTGGTCATTCGAAAAGTATAAAAAAAAAACCTATATAAGTACATACATACACATGTACTACGTATTTACATATACATGCACTTAACCATTGCGTTAACGCCAGATTAAAAATAGTAAGAACTACGCAAAAGAATTTGCGCCGCGTGGCATATGAAATATAATTAAATATCTTATTTTACTTTTTTTTGTTTTGGCGCTATAAGTTTATTTAGACGCCAGCAAAATTAGCTAAATGCTAGAAAGCGAACAAATATAGAAATTTAAAGCAGTCAAAACAAATCAACACTCAAGAAATAGCGGAACGCAAATCAAATTTGCGTGCAATCCAGTGCTCCACCCCATAAGAACGTGGCGGGGTGGCGCCGTTCATTGAACTGATAAGTCTAAGCAAACCTACCGGCAATCACAATATACAAGACGTATGTATGCATGTACATATGAATGAGAGCGGGCACAAAGTATGCATAGACTTATGAAATGGACGTCTATTGAATGAGGGGACTCGGAGTGGAAGCCCACACTTTGTTTTTTTTTTTTCTTTGCTGCTGGCGTCGTTGTTTTCTTATATGTAGGTTGTGTTTCTAATCTCACACCAGTTATGTAAACGTCAAAGGCTGAATGAACGAACAAGTTGTTTTGTTGTGTCGTGCAAATATTTACATTTTCACACAACGTTATAAATTACACATGAAAGAACAAGTGGCGAAATTTGCTACAATTCACTGAATGCCTTTGGAGGGTAAATATTTTGCCCTCCTAATTAACTATGAAATGTTGGAAAAATAATCATAAACAAGTGTGTACATATGTATGTATGTATGTATTAACTTAGCTTTGCTATAAGCAAAATAAAGTGCATTTTACAATTGCAAGATTTTAATAATTTATACCAGAAACGTCTTATCTTGTGTAGCGTGCTCTAAAAATAGCACACTATAGTGTGCATATATTCATGTACTAGAATGACAATATTACTCGCCGCACTAATAACGCAATCGAAACAATTCAAAATCCATTTGAGGGCGAATTAATCACCGTACTTGTGACCTTGAAATGGTGGGGTGATTCCCTGGCCTACGTAAATATTGCTTAACAAGTGGATAAAATAAAATAGAATTTTCCCAAACAATAATAAATATGCTGCATGCTTGGAAAGTCTCCAATATAAAATATAATTATTTTAAAAGTACAAACTAATTCACAATTTCAAAAACTTGTAGAAGATCTTAGAGGGCCCTGGGTAATTTTTTCCATTTTGATTAAGACCTCGAATCTTTTTGGGGAATGTTGTTAAAGTGGCAACATTTCTTGTCGGTGGCTCTTTCTGATATCACAGCGTTGATTAAATGTTTGCAAATACAGCTTTATTCTCTTCAGACGCGTGCTATTTTACTGATTACAAGTTATAATAGCTATAAGCATGGTATAATTGTCGAACACGATAAAAAAAGCATGAAAGAAATTATGGGAATGAAATTTAACCAATGCAAAAACCAGCTTTATTACAATGCTAGTAAATACCTGCGTGCTTCACTGCGCCTTAGGACGTATTCTTGTGCTGTTTGATACCCGTATTATAATATTTAATTTATTTTATCAATTTAATTGAATACAAATTTTTAAACAGGTAGCAACCCTCCTCAAAAATATTTTCAGCAGTAGACTTTCCCAAATCTCTATAGTTTGATACCTGTATTGCATTATTTAATTTATCTTATCAATTACATTAAACTAAAATTTTCAAACAGATGGCAACCCTCCACAAAGATATTTTCGGCTGTAAGCGTTCTTAAGCCTCTTTCTTTTGACCGCCATATTGCAATATTTACTTTATCTTACCAATTTACTTAAACTGCAATTTTCAAAAAAAGGTGGAAGCTCTCTAATTTATTTTCTTTCTATGGGCCAGTTTTTCAGTGCCAGTTTAAACTTAGATTAAGTAAACTGAGTTTAAATTGGACATTGGTTGACATCTAATCTTAGTTTAAACCAGCCAGATCGGGCGTTTAAACTGAATTTAAACTGCCCTGAAAAACTGGTCCTACGTATGTCCCCTTTCAGACACGTCAAGTCTTGAAAACAATTTTTTCGCATTATATTTAGTGTTTTCTATTTGCGTCCAGACGCGTCAACTTTTATTGAATTCAAGTTCTTGGTTCTTTAAATGGGAAGCAACGAAAAGATCCAAAAAGAGACAAGAAAACTTGCGGATTTATCTGTACTCTTCCCCTCTCTTCTCACCTCCTTCGCCTTGTAACGAGCAAACGTGAAAGCAAGACTTGACGTGTCTGAAAGCTGACTATATTTTAAGTTAGAGACCTCTAGCAATACGTCCGTGAAAACTCCATTCAATTCCATGGTATTAGTTTTCGAATGATGCGCGTACAAACATATGTACAGACAGACGGACAGACAGACAAAAATTCTAAAAATTGTTTAATTGGCTTCCGTTGCTCTAATAAAGACCCCCAATATTGATATTTCTTTAAAATCTATAATGTAGACATCGGTCTGTTACAGTTTTATTATATGTATAGATTATTGACTAGCATGGGGCGAGTCGCTGCGTAGTCAATCATAGATAAGCCTGCAACGTCAAGGCAGCTGCAAACGGCTCGGAAATCATTCGCTCGCGCTGATAAGATTTCGTAGTTGCATTTTTTTGATTGAAAGTTGTAATGAGACGTTTTTCCCCACTGAATTACACTGGGATTTATTCTGTAAATAGATTCTGTCTAATGATAATGAAAAGAGTAGCGTAGTGTCAAAACAAAAATTCTAAATCAAGTAATAGTAACTTTTGTATGTATTTAGTAAAAGTTTATTTATTTAAAAAAATCACATTTTTTATTCAGGCGAAATTTCAATAAAGTTTAAAAGCGCCAGAGGTTTGGACTCTTAAGTAGTTTCTAGAAAAATAAACTATCTTTACCAAAAGCACATGCAAATGTTAAATAATCTTCATTAGCGAGTGTGCTGACCCGTAATTTCGGAAAATTCTTAATATGTACATATGTACATATATTGAAATGATGTTTAAATAATTGAACCAATTAAATAAATACGCAAACATTTGCACACATTCATACATACATATTTATAATATACGTACGTAAATATGTACATACATGATATAGGCAATTAAATGTTTATTTTTATTACATTGACATGCATATGTACATATATACATATATTGCAGACTTTTAATCGGTCCATAAGTTAAGTCAATAAAGGTGTGTATTATTTTTGCAAATTGTGCCACATACAAAGTACACACGATGGCATCGCTCCGCGATTAACCAAATCAAATACGCTACATTGTCTGTTAATCGCTCTACGTCAATGCAAATTTCTTCGCTTTCACGCACCTCTACATTATCTTTCGACAATTATTAAATGAATAAAAAGTTGTACAATCATGCAATGGAAGCGTGCCACGGCGTATAGGACTTTAAATTTAAAAGAAGTGCGAGTCTTTAAAGCTTCAAGTTTTATTTTTGGAATGAAAAAAGAAGCCAGATAATGGAAAAATTTGTGTTATTACAGAGACACAAAAAATTACAAGTATATTTAGCTTATCAGTTCATTTAAAATTTAAAAATAATATTAGCGCGATAATTTTAAAGTCACCCCTTCACTAGTAGGTGTTAATGGATATTCTTTCATTTGCTAAAGGAATTTTTTTGTGTGGGTAATTATAAACGAACCGTGCTTTTACAAATACCCATGTATAGTATATACATATGTATGTATATGATTGTGTGAATGTAGCGTTCGTAAATACCTCAAAACCTTTACTACATTCAGCGAAAAATATCTATTATTTCAATCAACTGACCTACGATAACCAAACTGCTCATTTCTTATTTTTAGTTTGCAGCACCTGCAGCACATTTATCAAACTACTCCCATTTGCAGTGTCCGACTTTGTTTGCTGAGGTCCGTTACAACGCTTCTTACGGTCTGCTGAACTATGTTTTGACTGTGACTTTTGGAGCTTTTCTTGTTTTACACGCAAAGCATCAAAGTAACGTGATATGCGTGTTCCGCCAGCTGAGGCATTTGCTTGTGACGTAACCGAGTTTTCCGATGTGTCAGCTGGTTTTACTGGCTCTTCCTTAATGTATTCCGTTTTAATGAACTCCATAGAACTAATGGAAATTTTCGACTCATTGGTCACCATATTCTCAACATTGAACTTTGCATTTGTAAATTCTGCTTTAACAGTTTGTATGCATTGTATTTCAATTTTTGGTTTTAATTCTTTCTTTACGTCCAGCAGACGATGCTCAGGTGGTGGTGGCATGACGGCAAAATCGAAACCTATTTCTGGCATATCGAAATTTGCTGAGGTTTCTTGTGTCGTTAGTGAGGTGGTATGAAGTGCAGTGGATGCATCAGTCTTATAATTACTAAACTGCTTGTCAATACAACTCACGTCCTCTTTCATATCCAATGCATCTTTAGAAAATGAATTCGGCTCAAATGTGTTTTGATGTTTCAATGAATAAGCTAAAGGTAACATTTCTGAATGGTTCTGTGATGTGGTGGGTGACATGCAATTGGTAGTTTGAAAGGGGAATGGTGTCGCGCTATTCTCTGTGGTGCTGCCATCAATTCCTGATTTCTCAATAGTATTATTTTTCCCATCGATACAAAGTAGCGCTTCCACAAAACGGACACTATCTAACTCATCAAAATCATTGTTAGGATAAGAACACAAATCAGAAGATGGCCAGGAAGTGGATTTTGGTGGGCTCTTTTGAAATTCTTTAGACGACACATCTTCCTCAGAATCCGAAAAGTCATTTATGTAAGGATAAATGCAGGAGGAGCTCTCACATTTCACAATTTGCTCATTGATATCGATGTAAAAAGTACGTAAACGATTTCTCAAGCCTTGTTGCTGGCATTCGAGGCAGATATCACCAGGTTGAAATGTGCTCTGCTCCATGATGATGATGTGAGTGGAATTATAAGAGTTAATTTCAAAGCTGTTTGAAAATACATAATGGAAATATGTAGTTACCGTGATGTTATAAAAGTGATTTATGTGGGAGATGTCGAGCACAGTTCAACCTGTTAAAAGAAAACTTAAAAAGGTAACGCGAAGTGACAAAAATAATAAGATTTGAGGTGAATGTTTCCAATATTATCTGTTAGTTCGAGGCTGGCACAAAAAAATCAAGGAGGCGTGGAACCCACCCCCCCAACTTTCCAACTTGAAAGAGTAATGAATTCAGTTGCATGCTTCTCTTTCTCCTCCGACTACAGTGCTCCTCAGACGAACCTCCTCAAAACAGGAAACAAATTTGCGCGTTTGCTTACAAATTACATAAAAATAGAACTTTTTTGTTCGGAACTTCTTTGTTCAAAACAAAAATAACCAACTCCGTCTACGCTGTAGTATTTACGGGAGATTCTTTCTGCGTAGGCGGCCCTCCATTTTTCTCTGAAGAGTCCTGTGGTCGGAGGAGAAAGAAAAGTATGTCATTGAATTCTTTGATATTTGCTCTTTCAGTCCGGAAAGGTGAGCGGTGCCACGCTCTCCTCATCACTTTTACCATATAGAAGTCAAAAATAAGAAACATAGTTAAAATGCATATTACTTTATGAAGAGGGTAATGCTATCACTTTTAATTAGTACATAGTGCTACAACGGCTGACTTAGCACTGCCTGGATCGGCTTGTCGGTCAACGGCTTTTGTCCATAGGGACAAGGGCTTTAGATGGATGGGAGTTTTGGGCTCCCCAAGAGGTGCCGTGAGCCATGACTCCGCATGCCGGGCACTCGTTGCGCACATCTGCGTTCACTCTGCTCAGGTATGAGTTTAACCCGGTTCAAAATCGAGAGTGAAGTTTGGCAGACAAAGCTCTGTGCCGTCCACCTCGGGTGGTTGGTTACACAGATCGGGAGTCGATGTAGGTCTAGACCCCCGTGAATGCCGGTTATGGCCTGTCGGTATGCTGTCGGGTCGAGAGGGCAACTTGGGGACCTTGTTGCGGTTCTGTACTTGTATTGACAATTGCGGTTGTTTGCGTCGAGGAGAGCAGAGTGTCGAAGATAACTCCGAGGATTTTTGGGTCATTTAGCGTCAGAATTGGGTCGCAATCGACGTAAATTCCCAGCTGTAATCTGAATCTCTCCGGTTTGGTGATAAAAAGGCTTACCGATGATTTCGTAGGGGAGAGGGTCAAGTTCCTTGCAGTGAAGAAGCGAAATGCATATTTGTAATCTTGCTTTGGCGAAGTGTGCTCGCCCTCCCTCTACGTTTAATTTGTATATATATAATTAGCACTTACCTGTCCAAAACTCATACGAAGGGCATATTGAGCTACGATTGAAGATCTCATTTTCTGCAAAATTTCACTTGAATAACTTTATTTCGCTCGGATTGGCAAAATCAGGTCAAATAACTGAAAAAGAGAGAAGAAATGATAACAACCAGACGAAATAACATTTATTTTTGAATACAGTATTCATGTTTTGTAGCTAAAATTTCGTTAAATGTTTAGCTATTTGTACAACGATTTATGTGGGCGTTTAGCTTTTAGACACCTTTCTTCGTAGGCGGCCTTTGGCGGCACTTTAGGATTATAACCCTCACCAAATAGAATTCTCCTTTTGGTGTGCACCAACTGGGGCTATCATTCCAGTGATGTAGCCTTGGGAAAGGATGAGGTAACTAGAATTCCCTTTTTGTGTGATAAACCTGGGGCTTCCGCCCCAGGGATGTCTATGTTTGACACCTCAGCTCCACCATTTAATCTGCATATACAATCACAGGCACACGGGTGATTTTCATAACAATTTTAATTAATAAATTGCGACGAATAAGTTTCAATTAAAGGAATAAAATAAGTAACAAATAATAGTGGCTGCTTTAAGGCAAAATAAGATTAGTTAGAGTACGTATATTTCTGAAATTTGCAACAAATACCATATTTCCAACCATTGTTAAATTAGTGCACAGATTTAGTCAATTAAATTTTTGTAATAAAGCGTGAACTGTTGTCCACAAGTGTGGGTAAAAGGTTTTTGATTCGATTCACGTGTTTGGGCACAGCAACCCAAAATCGTTGTACAAATTCATAAACAGTACTCAAAATTTCTTCAAAGTAATCTCATGCCGTATCACGTGTGACCGTGGCCGTCAAAACGTCAGAAAATATTTGACCACTAAATCGATATGTCTGCCTGCAATGCGGCACTGCGTTGATAAAAACGATATCCTGCGCAGACTTAAAAAGCTATTTCAATTATTCACACCCACTCACATTTGTTGGATCACTTCTTTCACTAGTCTACTTACATAACAAAGAAAAAATTTTAGCGAATGTGTGTTCAGGAAGTTCGCGAATCAAGTTCAATTACCAACTATAATTTTTGGCCAAGAGCACTTACTTTTCTTATTTGCTTATAATTATATTGCTTGGATGCGTAGATGCAACTGAAACTGGCGCTATGCGTTATACAAATTATATTGCAAATCACAATTATTCAAGACAGACGGCGAGTTCGGCAAAATTTATTCGCGTGCACCTCGCAAAAAATCTCGCAGAGAAAAGAGACGATTCAGGACAGAGTGGCTTTTAACACTACTAGAAACAGGGTGTAGATGAGGTAGAATTTCTTGAAAACTACTTTACTTACTGGTGGTCTTCACATGCTTGCATGTGAATGTTTTGTTGACTGGGCATTTGACAGATTCCTTTTTCATTTGTAAAATATCGTCAAAAAAGAAGGTGAGAGCTTTTGGTAAAGTAAAAATGATGAATTTATTAACGGCGTTTGATCGATTTTAGGGATGAAAAAACGACGAACTAGCGACGAACTAGCGACGAACAAACGGTTTATCACAGTTAACAAATAATGAAGTTCTTACACCTGGAGTGATAAATGAAGGAACGGTTAAATGTAAAAAATTAATTATATATGTTTGGCTTAAAAGGTATTCGCACAAGGCGATTTTGCGTTCATCTCACGGAGGGTTGCACGAAAAGAAAATTGAATGGCTAATGGCTGCCGACCAACTTTGTTGAAGGCGATTAGTTGAAAGGCCGTTCAACCAGAAGTAGAATGCAAATTTGAATAATGCAAATGCCTTAAAAACTGACCAACCTTAAAGAACAATCGACGAACTATCGATTGCAATACAAAAATCTGAATTATTTTCCGTTTCTTGCGTCTTTTTCTCTCTTTATGGAGATTTTCAAATTTATTCAAACTTTTAAGAACCTGCGACATTTACAAATGAAAAAGTATGCTGTCAAATGCCCAGTCAACAAAACTCTATCTAGAAAAAAGTAGAACGCATGCAAGATTTGCAGGCATGTGAAGACGGCCGGTAACGTCGGTTAGGCGAATCTTGGTTGACGTATTCCAGTATAAAAATTTTACTTATTAAGCACCCTGTTTGGTTTAGAAGTTGGCAACGCTACAAGCTTCCACAGCCAACTTTGTTTAAGTCTCAGCTGTTTTCGTTCTTGTCAAATTTGCTTCAAAACTCGTGTTGTGCAAAATTTACCAGTGCACTAAATTTTAGAAGTTTGCTGCTTTTATAAGATTTTATTGCAGTTAACGTAAATACTCTAATATGGCATTATCACCTGGCGTTAAGGAACGTTTGGAAGTTGTCTACGATGTTGCGAAGACCACATTCCACTGGGGTTTCATTCCGATGGTGCTTTATTTGGGTAAGTCCCACGTTTTGGTAACTAAATCGATCGTTTATCTCATATATCTTCCATTCAAGGTTTCCGCAAAGGCGCTGAACCCGGCATGCCACCACTATCATTACTAAGCCTACTTTGGCAATAAATCCATTGATTGACGCAAGGCACTAAACGGGACGGTTTCATAACTATTGGGAGGGAAATATGTTTGAAATAAACTTACATATATAATTGTTGACTAATTAAACTTTAGTCTTTAAATGTGTTTTTAGGATATATAGCAAATGTGTTTTAAAAGATTTTTTTTTATGGCTGTTGGAAATTCTCCAGTTCCTTAAAATCCCAGGATGTCCATATGTTCAGATTTAGCATCCTTGGCTAAAAAGATTAAAAGTGAAAGTACATAACGTGCATTGCGTCACCGTAAACGTTAGCGTAATGGGCTGTTTTTGCTTACGCATATTCAGCGCATTTAGCTCTAAATGCTACTCTAAAGGCCAGTTTCACAATCTAAACTTAAGTTCTAGTTGAGAAAAATCTTATCTAGGAACAGTTTAAGGTTTTGTTCAAGTTTGCGTTTCACAATGCGTACTAAAGTATGGAAAATGTATTGTTAAAAAGCATGACAGCACTACAAAAACTGCTTTGTTTACATGTTTCGACATGTCTTAGGTCGGTGTTATGCAGAAATTTTGTTTGGCAAACTGCGTGCAATTGTTGTTGCAGCAAACTCGGAGAGAGCGAGTTTGGCGACTCTCACAGCAAACTAATTTTGTTTGATCAAACTGCAGCAAATTCGGCGTTGTCATATACAAAAATTTTAGACAATTGTTGCTATACACAAAAATTGCCGTGATACCGAAAGCCAGAGAACTGAATTTATGCTGTAGGAGTTTCAAAGATTAGGGCACAGTTAATTGCTTATACGATATTATAAAAAATATATTAATTGTGTGCGTTATGTAAATCTGAAATTCTCATTTCGTGTTGGCAATAGCCATGAAAACCATAATGAACGTGCAACCCTGTGCCAAACTCGACATAACCACCTCCGAGCAAACTAAGCAGCCGCCATTTAATTTGGCAAACAAAAGTTTGTCTGCATAACACCGACCTTAAAATACAAAACAACTAAGAAGATAGTTTATGTGGTTTACTTAAAGTGTAATATTTGACCGGAGAAATATAAAATATTGAACTATAAACAAAAATGTCAGAAAATAAGAGGAGAATAAATTTCGGTCCAAATAAAATTGATTTGCTTGTGTGCCTATTTATTTATCCTACAAACTGTTTAAGCATCTGTTTGCTTAATC